ACACTGGACCTTTAACCTCATAGTTTTATTTCAACACCAATCTACTGAAATACTGCAATACTGAAAACAAAGAACTGTTTTCAAATGTCCAAATAGTCCTCTTTCATAACATCTACTGACAGCATAGGAAACCACAACATGACACATGTTCTCCTCCACAAACCTTCATTGCAGTATAAAATGACAAACAGAGGCAGACATATGACAACGAGAGCACAGATGTTGGTAAAGTGCACTGCTGATCAAACTGACCTTGGTTACCTGCAGGGGGCTTCGGTGCACGAGGTGCCGGCCGTTTCTTCCTGTTGGCGCTCCCGGGGCTGGCGGAGCGGGACGAGCTTCCTCCACTAGGGGGGGTGTCTGCACCTGTTGCGTCAGCTGTCCGAGTGATGCTGTACCAAGGGTGAGTAGCCACGACTGTGGTTGGAATCTCACTTCCTTCACTTCCCTCTTCTTCCTCTAGCTCCTTAGTTTCATCCTCATCATCCTCGTCGAATGGGTTGGAGGGCGGAGGGGGCGTGCTGGGTCTGGAGCCCTCCCCTTTGAGAGAGGACAGAGAGCCTGTATTGGGAGGGGTTGTCAGTCCGGCAGGGGGAGGGGGAGGGGCTTTCTTCTTCTTGTGTTCTGATTGGACCAGGGCGAGCCAAGGTGGGTCTTTGGGTTTATGGGTGCCACTGGACAGGCTGGACAGTGAGAGACACAGACAGGGACGGAGGGGTCACAGAGGGGAAGACAACCAAATACGGCCAAATAGAAGCATGGAGGGGCAAACAACGACAGTACATGCTGTAAACGGAGAATGACTGTGATGATATGATTATGGTAGATGAAACTGTGGACAGAAAAAAAAGAGGCGTTTGAGTAAAGTTTAGCTACCTTCCAGGAGACTGTGATCTTTCTCGAGGCTTTGGAGGAGTTGGAGGCTTCTGGTTTTCACCTGTGATTTAAAGTCAAACGTAAGTATGAATATCAACAGACTGTAGATCGTCTATAATCATTTACATTCTGCAGTGAGCACACACCGGCTATAAGGCCGTCTCCTGTACGGGGTAGCCGAACCCGAGGCGCAGGGCGAGGAGGGGGGGTTTGCTCAGCAACCCGGCGGGGCGCTGGTACTGGCCGACTGGCACCTTCATGATGACTGACAGGTGTAGAAGGGAGGTCCCCGTTAGTTGTTAAGTTGGCTGGTGTTTTAGTATCTTCCTCCTTCTCCTCCTCTTCCTCCTCTTCCTCCTCTTCATCACTCTCATCAAAAGGGTTGGGAGGAGAAGCAGAACGTGGTATCTCCTCTGTCTCTCCACTGCCATCCTCGTCTTTTGCTTTTTCCAAAGAGTCTGCGTTATTTGTTGCAACAGCAGTGACTGTGACAGAGTCACTGGCAGGCATGTCGGTATCATTTGTTGGGCACACAGGAGGAAGAGTCTTTGCCTGGTCCTCCTCAGAGGGCGAGGTGTGAGGAACTGTGCCGCGACCAATCCTGGTGGACTGAACTACCGCTGGTTTCTTACTAAGATCCGGTCGGCCGTTTTGATTGGCTGAAGCATGCCTTGCGAGGTGATGAGAGCAAACCAGCGCTCCAGAGTCGCTTCCTAATTTGTAGGATCCAGGAAGCAAAGTGCTGTGACACTCTATGCACCTGAGACAACAATGACACAGGACGACAGTGAGAGTTTCTTTATAAAGCTTCAAAAGATTATTAACATGAGCACAAGCTCTTAACTTTTTTATGTTCTTAAAGTCACAATACTTGAGATTTTCATGAAATCAAATCCAGTGCATGTATAGTGCCATGCATGTACTGACAATGCAAACCAAACATTTCCTACTGCTGCCAGTTCACATTGTAAAGACTCAACTAGTAAAACACAGGCAGCATTTCTGATGGCATAATGGAAAAAGGCTTTATTATTTAACTTCTTTATGTTCTTTAAGAAACACTGTATAACACACAGGTAGAGAGTCACTGTAGTGTGTACCTGAAGCAGTTGCGATGGTAGAGCTTGCCGTCCACCAGAAACCTCTGCACCAGGTGGACGTGTTTCTGGCAGGCGGCGCAGGTACTGCTGAGCGTGCTGCGCTTCACTGCTGCAACCGCTTCTACACCTGTCTGCACGGACTGGATCGGCTAGTGCAAGCGACCAGGGCGTTGTTCGCGGGGAGGGGACAGGTAGGAGACGTCAGGGG